ATGTGTATACAAAGTGAACTAATCTTATCTTATGTGTGTCATATATCATGTATTCATATCAATACTATAACAGTATGGCTACATATCTGACTTGTTTCTTATATCATTCAATAAGTTAGCCAGTCTTATCAATCAGTTAAGATCACCTATTAATCAATATTATCATATAATATATCATGTATCTCTCTATCTTAGGGCCAACCCAACAAGAATCAATCTCAATTATCATTCTTATCTATCATATGTATTATCTGCTATCAATCTTATCTTTTATCGATCTTATATATCACCGGTCTTATATGTCATCCGTTATCGGTTTTATATATCAGCTATCATTGATTTATGTCTTCAATTTCTACTCATCAATCATATATTACTCATCAATCTTCTCAATTATATTAGTATCAATCTCATCCGTCTCATATAAAACATCAATTTATTTATTTTGTTTATTCTTACACGCATTTCATATTATGTATATCATAATAACAGACATAATGTTCACATCATATACAATTATCATAACTTGTAGATGTATTCAGTGTGCTCATCGATATGTATGTATTATGTCAAAATGCATGTCATGCTAAATAAATAGTAATCATATGCATATTATGTGTCACATATCCATATTTAGTACATTAGCACCTAATTATTTTGTACTTAATATTTCCCTACTCATGTCAATCAAAGTGACATACGCCAAACCACTTAGTGAAAATCCAATAAAAGCTAGTCAAAATATTCACAATGATGATACCTATCATTTATCAAAATTTACATAATAAAAGTGCATTGAAATCCGAGATATAATATTTTTATCAATTTTAGGAGAGATAAAATAGGAAAAAAATACACAATAATTAAAAAAAGATGTAGTGTCAAAGTCACTTACAATGATCATAATAATTTTCATAATAGAAGTGATGGACAAAAAAGTCTCGAAAAACTATCTCTCCTTTCCTCTCTCTCGTGTCCTCTTCCTCTCCATTCTTTCTACCCTGGTAAGGCCAAATAGAATGAGGGGGATGAATTAGGTGGTGAGAGATATTTATATTATATAAAAAATATTATTTAGTGGTCGAAGACGTGACCACAACATTGCTACATTACATGTTAAATTCAGAATTATTGTAGAACATTGAGCATGACACCTAGTGGTGTCAATTCGGGTCAGCCTCGAACCCGGAATTGACCCGGCACTGTTTGGGTCAACCCAAACCGACCAGTTTTTAAAAATGGGTCAGGTTTCCGGACCCGAATACGACCCGATTCGGGTCCGGGTCAACCCGACCCGACATGAATGACCCGAAGCTGACCTAAAATTGCTAATTTTCGGGTCAAAAATCGGGTCAATATTCGGTTTTCTAGTCAAAATTGGGTAAAAAATGGGTCAATCTCGAGTTTTCGGGTCAAATATGATTTTTCTTGTCACTTTCGGGTCAATTTCGAGTTGCTGGGTCAACCCGAACCCGACCCGATTTTTAAAACGAGTTGATTTGTTCAACCCGAACCCGACCCGTTTCGGGTTTGGGTTGACCCAAACCCGGATTTTTCCGGGTCGGGTTCGGGTCGGATTTCGGGTCGTGTCAAAAATTGACACCGTTGCACCCTCCATCTCAATGCCGCAATGCTAAAATACATATTTTAATATTTTCAAATAAATTCATTTAATGAAAATTTGAGTTATTGCAAAACTTCTTTAAGATGTCATATTTCAAAGTTGTGTATATATTGACTTACAACACTAACAAAATATAATATCAGGTTTAGTATGTAATACCCATCGAATAGTACGCATTTGCACCTGTTTTGAAAATGGTATGATAAGGGTAAACCATTAATTTTTTTTCATTTAACATCTCTTAGATATGTTTGTGAGTGTTCTGTATGCACATGAATATCTGAATCTATTCTGAAGTGGGTCCCATGGGTCTGTGCATGAATGAAAATTTTAAAAATTCTCCTGAGAACACCATGACGTCGAGGTTGGCCATGCTGCAACATGAGCTCTATGTTTTTTTGTCAAAATAATTCAAAGTTGCGGCGCTGGGGGCGACGCTAAGGCACCGTGCTCTCTAGTGAGAGCATTGCAATGTTGTAGGGTTGAGCACCACGACACTAGATCTTTTTTTAAGAAAGATATCAAAATTCACTTGATTTTCATTTAAATCAAAAACAAAAAAAATCCATCCCATAAGAAGTGAGCTAGAGAGAGAAGAGAATTTTAGAGAGAGAAAATTAGGTTTTGGTTAATCCAATTCTTTTTTTGGTGTCAATCCAATTCTGAAAGTTATCCATATCAAGATATGTTACATTCTAACTATTTCATTTTTAAAAAATAAAAGATATGACTATTATGAATATTTAGATTATTTTTTAAAATTTCTATCTAGCCAATTAAAAAGTTCACTATTTTATCCAGTTAAAAATAATTTTGATAAAAAAATAATGTTGTAGTACAATTAAAGATTCAAAATAGTATTATGAACAATTCTTGATAATTAGATGAAACTCTAAAACCGTGAAATTTTGCTTATTAGTCGAATTCAAGGGTGTAAGTGAGCCGAGCCGCTCGAGCTCGACTCATTTATGGGCTCGCGAGCTGAGCTTATTGAGCTCACGAGTCGAGTTCGAGCTTGATGAGGCTCGGCTCGTGAGCTTGCGAGCTGGCTCGAATAATTTTTGAATTTTTTAAAACCTAAATAATTATTATTTTATATATATATATATATCAAATGCCAAAGAAAAAACTAAAAAAGCATTAAATGTTAATATAAAATCTTATTAAATTTTGGGCTCATTCTTGCTGTCAAGTGTCAAATGTCAAAGCTTTAAATGCTAATGCTTTATACAAGAGAAAAAGCTAGGAAAAGCTGGTTTATCCAAGGGAAAAAGCAAGGCAGGACTCCAAACGTTGGCCACTTTCTATTATCCAAGGGAAAAAACGTGATGGACCATGCGGACAATTTCTCTACTGGCCAAAGAACTGGGGGAGAAATTGTAAATGGCGGGCGGGAAAATCAAAATCGAGTTTCTCGTATCAAGTTCGAGCTCGATATTTGACTCGTGAGTCGAGCTAGAACACCCCCTGACTTGAGTTCGACTCGACTCGTTTGCACCCCTTGTCGAATCCATTGCCTGTCATTAAAACATTATGGGAATTTCTGAAATTGCTTTAGTCTTATTTGATTTATCGCAATGTAATGATATATATGCTCATACGCTTGAAAATGTGTGATTCTTTGGAGCTCCGATTTTGGAGGAAGTTTTATTGTGCTTAAACGTATATGGAGTCATAAGGGGCTATTCTAAATGTTTGATATGTGTTAGGCATTTGAGAGTCATAAAGATTTGTTTTCTGATATGCTAGCACATTGAGTTATAAGAGCTTGAATTCTGATATTTTTTTTATTTATTAGAGGTATAATGGCCTGAGAAAAATATGTTAATTTTTTCTATGATAGATGGACTAATTATTTATTTACTTTTTCTATATTGTTTATTTAAATTTCTGATAATTACAAGAATTATACTGCACAACATGAAGAATTGTTAATAATTATTTTTAAATTCAGTTAAATATATAATAAGTTAATTATTAAAATTTAGATCGATATGTGTGATAGCTGAATTGTGTTGGCTCACACCTATTCTTCATTTTGTTTTAGGATAAAGGAAGGGGAAAGAGCGGGTTGAGTAGCCATAATTCCAAGTTTTGATCTGTCTGAGTCAATTAGATATTTTCTAACTTTATAATTTTTGTAAAATTATAATAATTTATCAATTTGCTCTGTTTTGATATGTAACCATGAACTATAGTGTATAAATTTTATTGTACATATATCTTTTGATTATGAATGAAAAGATAGAAAAGAAATTTATGAATGAGTTTATTTTCTTGCTTACTAGAAGTTAATTAGAAGCTTTGCATTTTTTTAATTGAAAAAAATATGATAAAGCACCCAAAATTTTGATCTTGGGTTTGGCTTATCACCAGTCAATACGATATGACATATTTTGTCTATGCGTCATATTGGATTGGATTGTGACAATATTTGATATGTAAATAAATCTTCATGTTAGTCTCTGATAGGAGATGTTTCTACTACTGTGTTTTTTAGAGCATCTCTAGGTCTAAGATTATATTCTTTGATAATTATGCACTAATTGCGAAAGGCTTTCACATACTTACAATCACAATATGTGAGGCATTTCAAACACAAGGAACTTTTCAATATCTAAGAGAACTATACATTTTATGTGTTGAATAAAACTTAGCAATGATCAAAGTTATTTTAATTTGACTAAGGCCACTCTTCTCTATAAGAGTTTGCTTCTAACCATTGGATCAAATCCCAAGTATAAGACATCAAAGATCATCCTAAGCCATAAATTCCTATTCTATCAACATCAAGTGCAAGGTTGGCCACTTCTGACAGAACAAAACAAGAATTTTCCCCACTTAATTTGATGCCACTAAACATTGGCACTGGCTTCCAAGTCCCTATTTCTACAAGGTTTAATGTAACAAGACCAATAGGTTTCCAAAAGGATGAATTATTCTGTGTGGGTGCCGAACGCCGTCCAGAGCCCAATGAAAATGCACCACGTCACCTCCTATTCGGTACCGCGGCTCGGTCCTACTTGGTATCGAGCTCGGTATTGCTCAGTACTAGATGACGTAGTTGCACCTGATTTGCCTGTGAACGATAAGCTGTGTCCGATGTCCGTACAGAATAATCTCTTTTCCCAAAGACATCACATGCTTAATTTGTTTTTTACAAGAAGTTCCTACTCTCATTTATCCTGTCATCCTACTTCCATGTATCTAGATCTCAGAATGCTGAGTATCTCCTAAGTGAACAAATTCTTCAGATTTGTAGCATTTCATACAAAAGGCAGTAAGAAGCTGGTAATATACTGCTCAAGCTGGTAACATGTTACATTTGCATCGGAAAGAGAACAAAAAATAAAATAAAAGGCGAAAAAAAATCCAGTAATTTTATCAACAATATGATGATTTCCATTTCCTTTCTTAAATTTCATACATTCCTATCCTCTGGACAAAATATCAAACTCAAAAATATTGGGAAGAAACTAACCCAAAACATGCCTATAAACAACTATGAAAGAAAAGAGAGAACAAAACTCAATAATTACATGTAGAAGATGAAAAATAAGATAAAAAACTCCATGGAAGATTAAGCCTTGTCTTTGTCCACTCGGGTAAAATCCCCTCATTCGAAGATTTTTTTTTGCTACTGCTGCTGGGAGTGCTGGTACTTTCATTGCTGTCCATGGATTTGCCCTTGAGAATATGAGGTCTCAGTTTTTTCATATCTGATAACTGTACTGGCTTCAGGAAGAACTCATCTGCTCCTTCTTCCAGGCATCTGCAAAAGAAAATTAATCCCCAATAAGAATAAAATTTCATTTAGGATACTAAAAATTTGGCATCTAGTAACACGCACAGAAATCTTTTCAAACATTGTCTGATTTTAATCAAAATAATATGATCAAGGAAGATTCCTAATGTTTGTTTAGTTTTTGGTTCAAATTTGAAGAATAGTAAACCTAGGAATTAGGCAATCTCAAAAGGAAAATTCAAGATAAAGACAACAATATATGGCATGCATAGTAGGAGAGAAATAAAGTTAATCCTAAGACATCCAAAATTGACTGTCCTAATAGTCTAAGGTGGATCATGATTAGGTCAATTAGCCAAGTCAGATTCGCAAAACCAGATTATGGGGCTGTTTGGTATCCTATTTTAGGAAGTATTTAAGCAAAGACTTAGGCTTCGTTTGGGACGGCTTTCTTTCTGCTTCTTAAAGAAGCTTTGTAGTACAAAATTTTTAATTTTTGTACTAAAAAATTGTTTTAAGAAGCAGTAAGAAAGTCATCCCAAACGAAGCTTAGTGTAAGTCCTTCCATACAAAGTTTTGATGACTTCAAATCCTATTGTTTTGATAAATCTTATTTCATTCATGTTAGTAATTGGATCTAAGATTTATTAAATCTAGGATTTGTTAAATCCCAACATTAACAAGATTTAATGGATGCAAGGATTTCTCTCACTCACAATTTAAAGATTTTAACCTTCTCAAGGTTCACAAAATCTAGATTTACAAGATTTACTAAATCATACTTGTAGCCAAACATCCCCTATATAGTCCAACCAGCAACAATAACTAAATTACTTATAGTTGAGCAGAGTTGGATGCTTAATCGAAATTTATTCTTTCCATAACCTTAAACCAAATAAAATTCAGGACTCAAATAAAATTCGAGATATTGTAATAAATAACATAAGAAACATAAAGAAAATCTAAGTTAACTCACCTATTGATTCGGGAAGGCACATTCTCAGAAGACATGATGACTACTGGGATGTCCTTGAGCAAGGAAGATTCCTAATTTATTTAACAACAAAACAGAACAGATTCAAAAAACTCATCAATTTCAAATTTTGGTCCTTTAGAACACTCCATAATCAAAATTCAAATTTCAAAACAAAAATTCACCTTGATCTTCTTGAGGAGATCATAGCCTGTCATTTCCGGCATGCAATAATCAGTAATAATCAAATTCACATCAACCTCCTGCAATCCACCATAAAAAAAGTTAATCCAACACCATATCAAAAACAAGTTCTCTCAACTTGAATTCAATCAAGTCAGAGACAAACATCCATTCTAACTAAAAATGAAACTACCTTTTGGCCCGGAGGCGTTGCAGTAGTACCATCTTCAAGCAAACCCAGAAACTGCAGGGCCTTGCTCACAGAATCCACCACAGTAACTAAGCAAAACAGAAACCCGAAATTTACAATCAGAAAAAGAAACACTTTTTTTTTTCGAGGCATTTGGTCGAGCAGGTAGTGTGTACCTTGGTAAGAAGAGGTTTTAAGTAGTCGTTCGATGAGCTTCCGATCAGTTATGCTGTCGTCGACGGCGAGGACGTGGAAACGAGGAGCATCGGCGGCGATGGTCATCGTCGGTGAAATGCTAGGCTTTTGTTGCAGGGCAAAGATAAGAGGATGAGGAAAGGTGGGTGTTTGGTCTATTTTCTCTTTTGGTTCTTTATAGTGGCCAAAAGATTTCACTTTGCTGGAGAGGTCAGAGAGAGAGAAAAACAAAGAGGAAATCTGGAAAAAATCAAACAAATCTGAAGGCAAGATCCGATCGATTTCCTCCGAATCTGCGCAGCATAATTTTTGATGTATTCTAAAATATAAAATTCTGTGCACTGTTCAAAGATTGTTGGGATCTGTTTTTATATTTATATATTGTTCTGCTAAGCTTCCATTTGATTTTTTTACTATTTTTAGGTAGGCAAAATCAATAACAATTTCATGAGAATAATAATATTTTTTTCTATAAACCTTATCTTCACATCATGAACTTAGCCATAAAATAGTGCGAATAAAGATCAGAACTTTTAATCAAATAAAATATAATTTGATTGAACTGATTATGATCACTAAATCTCAACTTTGATACAAAAAATCATTTCTAATAAAAGAAAAATTAGTTAAAACATTAAAACTTAATTATATATCAATCTTAGTTTTAATGACTTAGCATATTTTTCTTAAAAAAACTTCATGACCTGGCCTTGGAAGGGATGATTCAAGTTTTTCAGTTACTATGATGAGCATCTAGGAATGTAGGGGACACTCTTGAGTGGTTGAAATAATTTGTTTTGAGGTGGTGATTAAAATGAAATGGTAGAACAAATTGTTAGGTGATGGCCAACCTAGGACTTCCATTGAGGAGTTTGATATAAGGTTGCTTATAATGGATGAGTCAAGGCATGGAACCACTTGAGCATATTGTCTTTAGATGTTACATGGAATGTTTGGTGAAATTCCAAGTGGATTAGATGCCAAAGGAGTTTATTATATTTTATACTATCCTCTTTTGCTTTAAAAATATCTCAATTGATAGTTTTGTACGGGAGAATTTGCTTAAAAAGACATAAAATTAAAAATAAATACCCAACACCACAACACTAACCAGGGCGTCGTAGTGCCAAATCGTCTGAGCACCGCTGTGGAGCAGTTAATTCGATTAACATAAGTGACTCGACGATTCAATTAGAGTGCCACCATGATGAAATTTATCAATGTTGTAGCATCAGTTTATTTTAGCAGTGTTGTAGTGCTACCACTACCAGCACGATGATGTCTGTGGGATGATCATTTGTTCTCTTGTATTAAGTCTTAGGCAAAGCCTAGATGGAGAGCAAGAGTTTGTGCAAGCCAAAGGAAGGAAATTACAAGGATAGTTGGTTCTATTTTTTCTTACTTATTCTCTTGTACTTTTGTTCATCATGGAAATACAATATATTTTATTTATTTTAATTGCAATAGTTGCTCTTTAGGCTTATGATATGTTTAGAATAATATTTGTATAAGAATATATATATATATATATATTTTGTATAAATCATCCTATATTACTTTTAAATCCTTCATACTTCATTTAATTTGTGTAGAGGTCTTAAACGAATTTAAAATTTGGTGTGACCTAAAAGGAAATAGATCCCAATCATAGAAATGGTATCACACTATTGATGATCTTTATAGATACCTCATTTAATGGAAACTAAGAACCTATATGTCATAATATGAGATGTCTTATTATGCCAACTAATTTTTAGCTTATTTAATTATTATGTGAGATCAAATATTTAGTCTATCAGGCTTATATATAGCCATACAAGACAATGACATTATCCTATAATTTAGGTTTCTAAGATCATTGTTCAACTCTTTCATCATTTTAATTAATTCTAAAAGGTACATAGTGCCATTTCAATGAGATGATGCAAACAACAATATAAATAAGTGCTTTTAATTTTAAAAAAAAATGTTGTGTATGAAACTAATAATGAAATAGATATAAAAACTTTCTTAGACTCCAAATATTTACACATACTAGTTTTATTCATTATAATAAATATGCTCAAACATGTATAATCCATAATTAAACAATATACCTTAATTTGATTTTTTACATTTTTAAATAGTAGGTCATTGATTTTTTAAAGTGGTTCACGCCCTCATTAATGTCACTCAATAAAATTATGTTGCAGAATTGATCTACATGAAACTCGACTAAGATTTGATTAGAAGGCCGGGAAAAAGAAGAAAAAAAAAAAAAATCTTGCAGATTAAAAGAAAGAGGGCTCTCATAATGTCAATTTTTTTTCATCTCCTCAAACAATATCATGACCACTATTTGTAGACAAACATAGAGATAGGCATAGTTGAAATGAGACCTTTTTGTCAATTATATAGCAAATGAACTAGTTTACTTATTTTTTTGTTGTGAATGATGCAAACAAGTTCCATCAAGGAGAAAGGGTTCAAATTGACTCACGACTGATGAGTTCTTTTAGGCAAGAGGCATGCACTAGGCAACTTATCATTTTCAGAGCTACGAGAGACTAATGTTTGAATAGATTTTAACTTGTACATATATTATTCAAATATACTTATTAATCTAAAGAGCACCACAATGCCACACATTATGCTCATCCTCAACGTCGGAGTGCTATAAGTTAGTGCTACAATGGTAAAGGGTTGGATCCAAATAGATATCAAGAAGCCGAAGTGCAAAGGAAGGAGTGTCGTAGCTCCAAATCACCATAATGTTGCTTTTATATTTTGGAAAATTTAGTAGCTTTGGTTGTTATTATTGGTAGATGAGTTAATTAATTATAGGTTTAAGTAAGTCTAATCCTTTTATTAAATCTTAGGGCATCATAACTATAGTTCCGGTTCTTCGTGAATTCTTTGTAACTGCAAAGTAACCTTAAAATGACTATATTTTTGTTAGAAGGAAATGGATACCATTCACCCTTATATGCATTAACCATGCCTTCACAACCCCTAACTACCAATTTGATGGGAATGAATACCTGAAATTTTGCATCTCCCCTGTCAATTATAACAAAATCCTTAGGTTTCTGGCCTATCAAGATTCTAATGCTCAATATAAAAGAACGGAGGATATGACAGTAAACTTCTCTACATATGACCTAAGCCAAGCGCGTCTAAAGTCTAACACTATTTTATTTCTGTGAAACTCATCTCTAGTAAGAATATTAGTGAGGTTAAAGAGGAGAGGTAAAACTTAAGTCATTGTATCCAAAAAGAGTTTTCTATTGACTTTGGAATGTTGTGTTCAAATCTATCCTTAAAAAAATGTATTATCTAAATTACACTTATTTTCATAAAAATATTATCTAAATCTATTTGTGCATGAAAAAAAAAATACTCCATAATTGAAGGAGCATCGCGACTATATTCTTATCCTCAAAATTGGAGCACTATAAGGCAGTGCTGCAGTGGTAAAAGGCTAAATTCAAATAGAGAGCAAAGCACTCAAAAAACAAGGAAGGAGCATCGTAATGCCAAGCCAAGCACCACAATGCCAAATCACCATTGATAATGCCAAGCCAAGCACCACAATGCCAAATCACCATTGAGCTGCAGTGGGTGATAGTTATTGACATTTAAACTAATAAATAGCTTTTCAATTCAATAGTATTGTAATGCACCTAGGTTAGTACGACAACACCAATTCAGCTATTTGTAAAAATTATAAATAGGATGCTTATTTCTCATGTGTGTGTGTGTGTGGGGGTGTGTGTGTGTGTGTGGGGGGGGGATATTGTTCTTAGGAGGTGAGCTAGCCATTTATTCATGTTGTATTTTAGTCTAAGCAGAGTTTAGAGGGGGAGAGTGAGGGAGAGCAAGATAAGAAAGTCAATTCAGCTGGAAGGAGAGTTTATTATCGTGTTGTAAAAAAAATCCTGGTAATATTATCATAATTTACCAATTGTACTTTTATGTTGTTTTGAAATTAATCACATTTTGTTTATTTTAATTTCCATGGTTGGCAATAAGCTTAAGACACATCTCTGGGCTTATGATACTTGTTAGAAACCATGCATACTTTCTTAAGATTATATCTAAGTTTTATAAATCTTTAAATTCTATTTTAAAATTTTTGTGCTTAATTTAGTTTATGCATAGGCCTTGCATAAACTTAAAACTTAGCGTAATCTACAATCTCGATGGAGGAATAGTAGAATAATTAGGGAATTTAAAATAAGATTTTGTTATACATAGATATATGGTGGATATAGTCTTAGAATCTTAACCCTGAGCACACACAATGGAGCCGTAGACAATCAAGTGAAATCCAATCCAAAAAATAATTTGATCTATGGACATCATCGTTGTGCATGGTAAAGGTTGTAATGCCAGAGGGAACATTACCGCAGGGCATAGAGGGGGAGGTCATACACATCTATACCGTAAAATTGACTTTCGACAAATGAAAAAGAGATATCTAGTAGAATTGTATTCATAGAATATGACCCTAATCGAAATGCATACATTTGTCTCATACACTAATAAGAGATAAATCACTGAAATCTTAGCTAGATATTTTAACTAGCTCAAAAGAGATAAGGAGTATTTAAATTCTGATTCAGAATAATATTAAGAGAAATCTAACTTTTGCACTCTTGAGTCTTTAACTATCATATGTTTATAGCCACTTAGATATATGCTATTTATTTTAAAGACTTATTTAATAGCTTTTAATAGCACACCTTTTGATTTCTACAACTAAGATAAATTTGGTAATTCATGTAAGCGTACTAGAGTGAACATAGGGTAATTCCTATCCTCGGGGGAGTGATACTCTACTCATTATTTATTACTTAACATGACAAGCAAACTTGTATAAAATCAGCGTTCATGCACAAAATAGTTTGTTTGAAGTGTGTAGTGGTCATTAAGGTCAGCTCAAGGTGAAGGATTAAGTTATATTGTGGAGGTAGCTAATTAATAAGACATCAACAATTAATTCAAAAGCTTGAAACTCATTATATGAGAACCTAAAACATACATTAAAATTAATTTTATTGAAGTAAGAAATCATAAAATTATGAAGGCAGAGTTTACCCCATATTAGATAATAGATATACCAAATTTAAACACCACTAATTCTAGAAGCTTCAAATGCCCATTTAATGTGCTGAATTGACAGAGTTCAAGATTTTGCTATAATAACAAAGTTAATTTAGCCTTGGAAGGGTTGATCCAAGGCTTTCACTTGATGTGGTGGGGGATTAAGAATTTAGAGGATACTTTTGAGTGGTCAAAATAATTTTATTTGAGGTGGTGGTTGAAATGA